AAATAATATAAAAATTATTTGTTTCCAATTTCTAGATCTTGAGATATATTTATTTAAAGATCAAATTTTAAAACATCTCAAAGCCACCTTTTGCTATAAGGCCTCCCATATAAGGTTTTTTCTGCAAAGCTATTGTTTAAATATTATATAGAGAGGATATTTGTTAAATATTAGTTCTAGTGAGTATACTTTATATTGATAAGTTTTAGACTACTAATAATTATTATTAGCTATAATAACTATATTAAGTATATTAAAAAGCTTGATAATTTTGTAAGTTGTTGTATATTTGTTTAGTCCTTTAATTATAGAAATTAGATATTGAAGAATATTTGTAGTAGGCTATAAAATATTTTGTAGTTGTTAGACTTAAATTTGTATAGATATCTCTAATAAATCAGAGTTGTTAAGCCATGATAAAAAGTTAGTTATATGATATTGTAATTGAATATCCCAGATATTTTTAATACTATAAATATTATGGTTAAGCATAGTGCTATTTGGAAGTGTTTTAGAATGATTTGCTTTGTGTTTGGCAACAGTAAAGTATTTTGAGAGAATGTTTTGACATATTGTTAAAGGAATAACAATATTTTGTATTCTATATTCTAGAGTTAGAATGATTACTTTGTTGATAATATAACTAGCTTATTTATTAGAAATGTTTTTGTATATAAAATATTAGCAAGAGAAGAGGCTTCTTTAGATATTAAGTTAATTTGAGCTTTTTGGTTGTTCTTTAAAGTGAACTAACAACCAAGAAATTTAAATAGTATTTTTGCAGAAATAGATGTAATAGTAGAATTAATAAATTAAATACTATAAAGATCTACAGTATTAGAAACTAGAATAGATTTGTTTGGATTGACTTGAATACTTGCTATTAAGAAGAATGATATAGCAATCTTAATTATTTTATTAAGCTATAATTTGGTTTTTGCAATCCAAAGTATATTATCTATATAGGCCAAAACTGATATGTTAGTTTGTATTTTGTTTAGTTTAGTTTGTTGTATATTTTTAGACTATATTGTAGATAGTTGGTAGCCTTTTATTTCTTTGGAGATTTTAAATATAAGAGGATCATAATAAATCTGCTAAAAGAGTGGAGTTATTGTTTCTCCTTGATCAATACTATTTTGAACCTGATATAAATTTGTTAATCCAAAGTTTGTAATAACTTGTTTGTTCAATTAAGAAGAAGATTGAATAGGATATTTATGAAAGGTTCAGAAAATTAGATTCTTTGAAGAGCTAGTTTGAAGAGATCAAAGTTAACTGAGTTGTATACTTTGCTTATATCCTGATATAGGAGCTAAAGTTCTTTTTTGTTACATACTACATCTTCTATAATTTTGTTAAGAATATTAATAAGTATATTAGTACTATTACCTAGTAATGCAATGTAATTAAAAGAGAATAGTATATTATATTTAGTTAGGATAATATTAAGTCGATTAGTTAATATTTTGGTGTAAAGTTTTTTTATATGTTCAATAAGGCTAATTAGCCTAGTATTTGAGAAATTTCTATCAAATGATAGTTTTTTAGATATAGGAAAGATATAGCTATCTTTTCACTGTTTAGGAATTTGTTATCATGTTAAACATTTATTTAAAAGTTCAGTAATGAGTTGTAAAAAGAGTATACTCACATGTTTGAACATTTTATAACTAATTCCTGATAGTCTACATACTTTGCTATTTGGAAATTTGCTAATTGTTTGTTAAATTTCATGAATTAGTATTAGTTGGAGAATATCTAAATACTAGTTTGTTTGAATATCAGATTTTAAGATATATTCCATAATCCAATTAGAGTTAAAAATATCAGAATTAATTAGTCAAAGAGCTATCTAATTAAAGAAATGATCTTAAATTATTTGTTTAATAGATTCAGGTTCTGTAATAAGACTATTGTTAGTTTTAATATTATCAAATTTAACTGGATCCTTATGTCTATTTAGTATGCTATTTATCATTTTTGTTAGATTCTTTTGAATATTATCACAATATTTGTTCAGAGCTTTCTAGATCTGCTCATAAGTTGCTTTATTGTTTTCTAAGTTGTGAACATGATAAAGAGTTTTCTAGTACTGTTTAGTAATAACAATCTAATTATCCAAATATTATAAAGATAAAGAAGGTGCTAGAATTTCGAATTTATCGTATAGTTCCGAAATTAAGTATCCCCCAAAATTAAGCACTACTAAATTTTGTAAAATCTCCGAAAATAAGCACCCCCCATGTTTTTATATTGGTTTTGTATTCTGACTTCACGTTAATAGATTTAATACATTTATTTATTTAAATTATTCAATTTCAACTAATTAAATTATACAATTATGTTATACAATTTATAATTACAATAAAACTAATTATTACTAATATCTATAATTTCACTATTATCACTAATGTCCATAACTTCATTATCATCACTAATATCTATTATTTCCATATCATTGCTAATATCTATAATATCTATAATTTCATCATCATCATCAATATCTATGATTTCATCGTCCTCATCAATATCTATGATTTTATCATCTTTACTAATATCTATGATTTCGATATTATTATTTTTGTATTTATTGTCAGAATCCTCTAATCTATCACTATTGGTATTATTTAAATCATTTGAGATACTACATTTTATAAAGGATTTAATAATAACATCATCCGATATTTGTTCCCAGGAATTTTTTACCTACTCACATACATCACTTATTCTAGCACGTTGAAGGTTTCCAGCTGCAGTTTTTCCAGCACCACCTTTTGCTATCCAAAGATACCACTCTTTGCGAAGATTGTCTTTAAACAGTTTATTAATTGCAACATCGAGTGGTTGACAAATGCTAGTCAAACCACTTGGAATAACAGCTAAATCAATGCCATTATCACGAAATTTTTTTTTAACTGAATCTTCTAAGTGCCCTTTAAAAGAATTGTATAACATCATCGTTAGACCTTCATACCCATTATTAGTTTGTATGTCAATAATATAATCAATATATTGTATCATCAGGTTAGAATTCATCTATCCATTATCTTGAAACCAAACGATGATACTAGATGAAATTTTTTCACCACGTGGTAATCGTTTACCTTTGAAAATGCAAATTGGAGGAAGCTTCATTCTATCTAAATAAAAAAAAAAAATATAGTAACCATGCCAAGAATATTATAAAAAAAAAAAAAATTCTACTCGCAGCACATGTTAAAACTACTGTAAATTGATTTTTGTCATTGTTAGTTCCATGAATATGAATTGTTTTTTTACCTTTTTGATCAATAGTAAAGTTTCTAATCATGTCAAACCAGACAGAAGTCACATCTATATTAAGAATGTTAGATAATTTAAAAGATTTCCTTTTTCTAAGACAGATAACAAATTGGTAAAATTTTTTCAATAATTCATTAGTTTCTGAAGGAAGCTTTTGTGAAACTTTAGTACGTTACCGCCAAGATAGTTGATATCTTTTCATAAATGTAGACATCCAATGATTTGATGTTTTAAAATCTTCTGTTGAATTGCCATAAAGAATCATCATATCAGGTTCCTTTAAAATATTAAGTATCTCAATACATGCAAGTTCATAAGACACACCCAATCCTTGCTTTCTCTGTTCGATAATCCAATTGTATAGCTTTTTTTCTGCCTTAGGGTAAAATTCT